TTTGACCCCCGCCCCACTTGTTCATTTTATTTCACTTTTTGAATAATATGTAAAGCATTAACATTGTTCCCAAAATAAAGCTATACAGAGAATTATATTTAGAGACATATCACACACATTCCACTTGATTCATACCACCCCCACCCCAGGTAACTAATCACACTAGTGTTTTTTTTTAGATAAGCAGATGTATGTGCATTTTTCTTATTTTCCCTTGTTTCATTTGTGTATGCTCTTTTGCACTTTGCTTTTTTTGTTCATGTAACAATACATCCTGAAAGTCACTCCATATCAGTTCATATTAATCTCATTCTTTTTTGTTTCTGGCAGCTGTATAGTTTTCCATGTTTTCTTCTAATACTTTTAAGATTTTGTATTTTACACTTAGATCTCTGATCTATTTAGAGTTTATTCTTGTAGGTATGAAGTATGGATTGGGTTTTATCTTTTCTCAAGTGGCTACCCAGGTGTCCCATTTATTTATTATTGTCCTTTTTTTTTTGCTCTGGTGGTTTGAGATGCAACCTTTATAATAGAGTAAATTTCCATATGCACTTGGGCTCATTTTGGGACTTTCTAGTCTATTCCATTGGTCTATCTATTTATGTTCCAGTACCACATTTTCTTAATAATAGAGGATTCATAGAATATTTTAATATCTGGTAGGTAGGCTTCCTATTACAGCATTTCTTTTTTCTTTTTTTTTTGAGACAGAGTTTCATCGATTTGTTGCCCAGGCTAGAGTGAGTGCCATGGCATCAACCTAGCTCACAGCAACCTCAAACTCCTGTGCTCAAGCGATCCTCCTGCCTCAGCCTCCCAAATAGCTGGGACTACAGACATGCGCTACCATGCCCAGCTGATTTTTTGTATGTATTTTTAGTTGGCCAATTAATTTCTTTCTATTTATAGTAGAGACGGGTCTCGCTCTTGCTCAGGCTGGTTTCAAACTCCTGAACTCGAGCAATCCGCCCACCTTGGCCTCCCAGAGAGCTAGGACTATAGGCGTGAGCCACCACGCACCGCCTACAGCATTTCTTTTTCAGTGTTTTTCAAGCTACTCTTGCATATTTTCCATGAGGACTTTAGTATCAATTTTGTCTAATTTATAAATTCATAATTTAACAAGGAGTGTAATTTAAGAATCAATAAGAGAGGCCGGGCGTGGTGGCTCACGCCTGTAATCCTAGCTCTCTGGGAGGCTGAGGCGGGCGGATTGCTCGAGGTCAGGAGTTCGAAACCAGCCTGAACAAGAGCGAGACCCCGTCTCTACTATAAAAAATAGAAAGAAATTAATTGGCCAACTAATATATATATATAAAAAATTAGCTGGGCATAGTGGTGCGTGCCTGTAGTCCCAGCTACTCGGGAGGCTGAGGCAGAAGATGCTTGAGCCCAGAGATTGAGGTTGCTGTGAGCTAGGCTGACGCCATGGCACTCACTCTAGCCTAGGCAACAAAGCGAGACTCTGTCTCAAAAAAAAAAAAAAATAAGAATCAATAAGAGATATTTTCCTATTTATCAAGTATATTTGGTGGCTTTCAGGAATGTTTTACAGTTTTTTTTTTTTTTTGAGACAGAGTCTCGCTTGTTGGCCAGGCTATAGTGAGTGCCGTGGCGTCAGCCTGGCTCACAGCAACCTCAAACTCCTGGGCTCAAGCAATCCTTCTGCCTCAGCCTCCCGAGTAGCTGGGACTACAGGCATGCGCCACCATGCCCAGCTAATTTTATACATATATATATTAGTTGGCGAATTAATTTCTATTTAAAGTAGAGATGGGGTCTCGCTCTTGCTCAGGCTGGTTTCAAACTCCTGACCTTGAGCAATCTGCCCGCGGTGGCCTCCCAGAGTGCTAGGATTAAGGGCGTGAGCCACCACAGGCACCCGCGGCCTGGCCGACTCTCTAGGGTTTTTCAGGTATTCTCTCATGTCATTTGCAAATCAAAGTAGGTTTATTTTTTTCTAATTCTTAAGCCTCTTAAAATTTCTTTTGTCTAATTGCATTAGCTGATACTTTTAGTGTAATGTTAAATAATCATAGATAGAGTGAGCATTCTTGTCTTGTTCTCTTCAATCAGTTCTTAAAAGACCACGTATATAAGATTCCACCAAAACCTTGCAGGGGGTAGGAAATAAAGACCATGTATATAAAAAGTATTTTGAAGGGCAGAAATAACTTTTTAGTATAAAAAGTTGCTGGACATTTAGCTTGAAATATGAGGTTAAGGCTCTTCTTTTGTCTAGTAACCAGAAAAAAACACAAAAAACTAGCAATAAAGGTAAAAGTAAAAATTTGATTTATTTTATTTATTTATTTATTTATTTATTTATTTATTTTTTTAGAGACGGGGTCTCGCTCTTGCTCAGGCTGGTTTTGAACTCCTGACCTTGAGCAATCCGCCCGCCTCGGCCTCCCAAGAGCTAGGATTACAGGCGTGAGCCACAGCGCCCGGCCAAAAATTTGATTTTATAACACATTTGAGCTGGACCCCATTTCTACTTTTTGTCTTTAAAAGGCTTTTATTTTTTTATTTTTTTGAGACAGAGTCTCACTCTGTTGCCCTGGCTAGAGTGCTGTGGTGTCAACCTTGCTCACAGCAACCTCAAACTCCTGGGCTCAAAGGATCCTCATATTTCAGCCTCCTGAGACTACAGGCATGGGCCATCATACCTGGCTATTTTTTTTTCTATATATTTTTAGTTGTTCAATTAATTTCTTTCTATTTTTAGTAGAGATGGCGACTCGCTCTTGCTCAGGCTGGTTTCCAACTCCTGAGCTCAAATGATCCACCGGCCTTGGCCTCCCAGATTGCTAGGATTACAGGTGTGAGCCACCACGCCCAGCCTTAAAGGGTTTTTAAACAATGACTTTGCTCTTTTTTAATGCATTCATCTAAGATTAACAGAATGCTTGTAATACTCCAGGCATTATTTTAGGTTCTTTCTCACTTAATTTTTACTACATTCATGTGAAGTAGGTATTATTTTCATTTTATAAAGGAGGAAATTGAAGTTTAGAGACGTTTAACGAGTTGCTCAAACTCACACAGCTAGTAAGACTAGAACTATGATTTTGAATCTGGGTTTCCTAGTTCAAATTTTCAACATAGAATAAGCATTCAATAAATAACAGTAACTAAAATTTATTTAGTGTTTACTCTGTTCTACATACTTTAATTTGTATTGATTGGTTTAATTCTCATAACAGTCCTAAAGGCATTTCTATTATTGTTTGTATTTTATAGATGAATAAACTGATGCACAAGAGCTAACTAACTTGCCAGGGATCACAAGCAATAAAGCTGAAATTCTGTCTTCAGATCCCCTGCTCTTACTCAATCACTACATTATAAAGCTTTCAAATACATGAATGAAGGTCTGGGATCATGAAAGATGGAGAGCATTCAATCTCCTGAATGTAAATCTACCAGCATTACTTACCAGGTTTAAGTTCTGCTGTTGTTGTTACTTGATGTGGGTGCTTTTGCAACTGATAAAGGAAATTAAAAGGCCCTAGCACTCAAGAAAGTAGAAGAAAGGAATCTAAATGCCTGAATTTCTTTGGTTCTATGCTAAATCTAGGTATTTTTGGTATTTGAACATACTGGACTTCTTGCAAAAACTATGCAAAATGCAACACAACTTTAAATGTAAACATAGCTTCTAAGAGCGCAGTGCTGAATATTTAACCTGCGCCCTGCGCGAGCACACCTGCAAAAGGTTATATAACAGGACTGTAAATACTGGCCCTGGAGGTCGTCCAGTCCAACCACTATCTTCTCGCAGAATACTGAGGCCCAGCGAGGTTAAGTCCACAGACACGCAAAGATGACCCTGGGCTCACTTTCACTGTCGCGCGTGTCACTAGCGCAGGTTATCTGATACCTTTGCTTGCATTTCCTCTTTCTTTTGGTGTCTGCTTGTGCAAAAAGGAAACGGGCCTGGCTTCACCCGCTTGGAATCCAAAGCACCACCAGAGGCGAGTCTGGGGCCCTGCCAGGCGTCTGGCGAGCTCGAGATGAAATAACTTGCCCAAGGTCAGAGTGCGCGCCAGGCCCGTCCCTAAGGGTTCTCCGCAGAGAAACCCGCCGCTCTTGCCCAACCACCCGCGTGGGAGTTCAGAAATCCGCCTCCGAGGACACACAGCTCCCTGCCCAACTCCGCGGCCCGCTTCTGGACAGGGCGTGCCCCCGCGCCTCCGAGCCCTGGGGATGACTGCGAGCCGCACAACCCAAGGTTCCTAGGACCCGCCCGGCGCTACCCAGGCGGGCCGGCCTCTGCCCTCCAGGCGCTTGCAGCTGACGCCCCTCCCACCCCGACCTGGAGCACTGGAGGGGCGGGGCCGTCTGCTGACAGGACTCCAGGGGCCGTCCCCATTGGGCCAGAGAATGAGTGACGCGCCAAGCCCCGCCCCCGCCCCGGCTCCCGCCTGCTGCGCTCCGGGCGCTGACGTGTCTGGGCCGCCGGCTTCCGCTCCTCCCCCGGCTGGCAGCCACTAGGAGCGGCGAGAGGGGCGGGGTGGCCGGGGCTGGCGCTCCCCTCGGCCCCCGCTCCCGGCCCGCCCCGCCGCCCCGGCCTCCCGGATGAGGGTATATATCCCGAGCGGGTGCGGTACGCCGATGAGTGGCCGTGCGGAAGGAGCCCGAGCCAGGCGGCGCTGTGGAGGAAGGTGAGGGGCTCCCAGCCTGGTAAGAGGACGGCGGGGCCCGCGATCCCGGCGGGCGGAGGGCCCGGTCCCGCCACACACGCGCTCCCACGGCCGCGCGTGCAGACGTGGGTACGCGTCGCACGTAGGTGACACGCTGGCAGCCTGGCACGCGCTGAGGGTCCCGCCTGCGCGCCCACACCCTACCTGTGCGCCTCGCAGTCGCGCCCTGCCCTTGGCGACCCCGCTGGAGGGTGTGTGGGTTGGGCCGCCGGTGGGTGGCGGGGCCGGGGATGGGGCGGGGGCTCCCTAGGTGGGCTGGTGGCGTTGGGGGAGGAGTTTTGAGCCAGTATCTGGAGTCGTAGGGCGTCGTCAAGGCGGTCGGGTTGGGAGTGGGGCCTCTCCTAGGTGGGCGATAGGGATCTTGAGGTTCTCAGGCGAGAGCCTTGTGGACAGTTATACCAAGTTTTGGGGGCCTTCAGTGGGGACGAGCCGTCGTTGGAACTGTCAGGTGGGGGCGAGTTGGTGTGTCTCGAATGTATGAGGAAAAGAATTGAGAGCGCTGGCAAGAAGGACAGGAGATAACCTGTGGGGGACCACCGGGACAAAACCTACTTGCTTTGCTACTTTGTTTTAACACTGGGAGTGAGAGAGGATTGAAATTTCGGGGTTTCCCCTCATTTCGCCAAGCAGAAGGTTGGTGGTATTGGAGGGCCGAGAGCACACATGCTGAACATATGGCTTCTTGAAGATTTTATCAAGTTTGGCCTGGCGCTGTGCTATGTTTATTTGTACATGGTTCACAAAATCTGAAATCAGGTAATAGTGATTGTGATAACACGTGTGTGTCATTATTCGGTGCAAAAGTTTAGGGACTTTCAAGTGAGATTCAGTGAGTGTGAACCCAAGGGTTTGCAGGAAACTCAAGGCAACTGTCTGCTCCTTCACCATTAGTCAGTTGGCTCACTTAGCTGGGACTAAGAAACACTTCATAGGCTTTGCTGCCAAGCATATATAGGATTCAGTTAGTGGTTATGGCTCAACCCCAATACTGTTTTTCAGAAGCTCTAAGAGGTTTACTTATCCATTTTGGGTGCATATTCATAGTGGCAGAGAGCCTTGGTGTGGGTGGTGCCTCCCGAACTGTGGGGTGACGTTGCCACCCCAGTGGGCCTGTAGAGCTTCTAACCAAAGAGAATTATTGGCTGGGCGTGGTGGCTCACGCCTGTAATCCTAGCACTCTGGGAGGCTGAGGTGGGAGGATCGCTCAAGGTTAGGAGTTCGAAACCAGCCTGAGCAAGAGTGAGACCCCAGTCTCTACTAAAACTAGAAAGAAATTAGCTGGACAACTAAAAAAATACAGAAAAAATTAGCCGGGCATGGTGGCGCATGCCTGTAGTCCCAGCTACTCGGGAGGCTGAGGCAGAAGGATTGCTTGAGCCCAGGAGTTTGAAGTTGCTGTGAGCTAGGCTGACGCCACGATATTCTAGTCCAGGCAACAAAGGGAGGCTCTGTCTCAAAAAAAATAAAAAAATTAAAAACTAGTGTCATAACTCTTGAAACCTATAAAATAGAAATGCCTTTTCTAGGCCCTAAGGTGCTTAGAACACCTTAGTGAGTGTTCAAGGCTGTCTTCTGACTTCACTTTTGTATCTGTGTGCGTTCCCTAGAGGATTACATTCAGTCTATAACTCTTATGTCATGTATGCTGATGACCTTGAAAGTTTTATCTTTAATTCCGGTATCACCTCTTAAGTCTAGACTACTATGTTTTGCTGTCTAATCAGCTTTTGTATTTGGATGTGTAATAGGCATCTTTCTTGCCTGATTTGATCCTATTTCTTTCTTTTTTTTTTTTTTTTTTTTAAGAGACAAGGTCTTACTCTGTTGCCCAGGCTAGAGTGTAATGGCATCGTCATAGCTCACTGCAGCCTCAAATTCCTGGGCTCAAGCGATCCTCCTGCCTCAGCCTCCCAAGTAGCTGAGACTATAGGCATGTGCCACCCACGCCTGGCTTTATATATATATATACATATATATATATATTTTTTTTTTGTAGAGAAGGGGTCACGTAACATGACCAGAACTGAAGTATTGATTCTCCCCACTCTCTACACAATATCCCTGAATCTGCACCTATTGTAGTGTTTCCCCATCCTCAGTGAATGACACCACTACTTGGAGTCATAGTTGCTTGATTCCTATCTTTCTCGCCCACTCCACGAGTTCAATCCATTACCTAATCATTTAGGACTACTTTTAGAATCCACTTTCACCACCACTCAGCCATCAGCATCACTCATCTAGATTACAGTAGTAGTTCTCTAACTGGTCTGCCTGCTTCTATTTTTGCCTTCATTATCGTCTTTTCCCCCCACAGGACAGCAGAATGATCCTTTTAAAACCTATATCAGACCATAATATTCTCCTTCTCCAAATTCCTGAGTGGCTTCTGAAACTCCACAGTCCTTACCTTGACCACAAGGCCCCACTTGATCTGGTCTCTGCTCACTTCTCCTGCCTTATTTCCAATCATCGTTTGCCTCAGCCACTCAGCTCCAGCTGCATCGACCTTCTTGCTCTTCCTTGAACACACCAAGCACATTGCTTTCTTGGGATTACTTCCCTTGCAGCTTTCTCTACCGAGAATGTGCCTCCCTAAGATATTGACTTGGTTTGCCCCCCTCTTCATTCATGTCTATTCTCAAATGTCAGCTCTACAGAGACCCTCCCTGACCACCCTGTCTAAAATACCCACCATCACGCCTGTTGCTCTTTAGCCCTTTATACCACTTTATTTTTCTTCACAGCCTTGTCTCATAATACTACCTGACATCTTATGTTTTGTCTATTACACTGTAAATAGGCATGCACGTTGTCACTTTCTTCACTTCATGTCCCTGTCACCCACATAGTGTCTGGTGGATAGGAAGTGCTCACTGAATATTTGTTGAATGAATTAATAATGGCACATGAATGTTAAAATAATTTTCCTCCCTAAATTATGTGTTAACATACATTTGCACATTAAAAGGAAATTTTTAGGAGTAACTTATTTACATATGTAAGTGAGGAGGTTTTTTGTGGGCCTGCGGCCATTCAACAGAAATAGCAGCACTGGGACTCTGGGCATGTTATCTCTGCCTGTGTAAAATAATCCCAATACCAGTATCTTAGAGTTGTTTCGTGGATTAAATAAACTAGTATCTATAAAGCAATTCGAGTTGTACTGCCACACTGTGATATGTAAGTGCTTAGTGTCATTATCGTCTGAGGGCACACACAGATGTAGGTTCTCTTGACCTGAGCTGCTAAATGGTGTTTGATATATATGGTGCTGATGAAGTAGATAGTAGTATTAATCTTATTTTGCAGGAAAGGAAACTGAGGCATGGGGCAGTTAAATGATTCAGCTGAACCTAGAATTGTGCTCTGAACTACCACATATAACTGCTTTTCACTATTCCTCTGGGAGGAGAAGATAGATGGGTTAGTTCTTTGGACCTGCTCCTCCTCTGTCCCTCACATCTAAGTTATGATGCAGTGATGATTCTTTACAGTGACCCTTGAATCTGTCCCTTTCACTCTTACTTCCTCTGTAGCTAATCTGCTTCGGGCCTTTGGTTTTTCAGACCTGCAGTTGTCTTTCAACTTGTTTTCCTGCTTCTAGTTGTCCCTTCTCACAGTCTATTCTATGCCATTGCTCCTTTCATCTCTCTAAAGCATAGTGGCACTGCCCTGTTTGGTAATCTCCTGTTGGCTTCCTATTATTCTATCAGGTCTAAATTCTTTTGCTTAGTTTTCAAGGCTCTTTGTGGTCTAGCCCTACCCTAGACCCTTTCCCATCATTCTTCATGAGATGTTCACTTTTTTACTGTTCCCATCCCTCCTCTGCTTGCTTCTCATGCCCCCAGGCTCTGCTTGTTTCCTAATCTTATCTACATAGTCTGCTAAACCCTTGACGCACAGCTAGAATCATGTCTCGTGAACTCTTTATAGACAATGACTGTCTCATCTTACATTTTCTCTATTAGCTTAGTAGATTAAATATTTCCTCATTTTCTCTTTTTTTAGCACTATGCAGTTTAACAGTTTACTATATTATCACAGAATGCTCTGTAGAAAACATTGTCCTACTCACTGATTATTATCTATATATTGCTTGTCTCTAGGGTCCAAGTTCTTAGCAGAGATAATAGATGTGTTTTTATTGCTTCTACAGAAGTTGCTATTGAAATGAAATGTGCTTTTCATGATTATAAGTGGTTCTATCTTACTGAATATTGCTGTATTCTTAATACAACAGAGTTGTTTTCTATCATTAGAGATAAAAGAAAAACAGTTGAAATTTGAAGCAGTTAAGTATTCTTTTTTTTTTTTTTTTTTTTTTTTTTTTTTTTGAGACTGAGTCTCACTCTGTTGACCAGGCTAGAGTGCCATGTGGTGTCAGCCTAGCTCACAGCAACCTCAAACTCCTGGGCTCAAGCAATCCTTCTGCCTTAGCCTCCCAAGTAGCTGGGACTATAGGCATGTGCCACCATGCCCGGCTAATTTTTTGTTTCTATGTTTAGTAGATAGGAGTTGCTCTTGCTCAGGCTAGTTCAAACTCCTGACCTTGAGTGATCCTCCCCCCTCAGCCTCCCAGAGTGCTAGGATTACAGGCGTGAGCCACTATGCCCCACCCAGTTAAGTATTTTTTCAGTGGTAGTTCAGTGATCCAAGGAGTAGTACATAGGCATCTATCTCAATGTGGTAAAGAGTTTGAGCCCTGGAATCAGACTGCCTGGATTCCCCTCCCAGCTCCACCAATTGGCTAGGTTGCTTGGTCTCTCTGCCTCGGTTTCCTCAGGTGTCAAATAGTGATAATATAATAATAGTACCTATGCCTTAGAGTTGTTGAAAATTTAAACAAGACCATGAAGGTAAAATACTTAACGCAATGACTGGTACATATTATTGTCTTACAGCTTTAGTCTCTTACAAATATTGAGTGATGGAAAGACAGAAGTTAATTTCCTTAAAACAAGTTTTAAAAACTCATACTTATTTTTTAGTAGGAAAAAAACGCTTCAAATTTGGAGGTTGGACTTTGACTTGCTATTAATTCCTTTTTCCTTTTAGGTTTACAGGTGCATAAATTACACCCCTATTGTCATAAAGCTCGACTATAAGAGCATTATGAATGTTAATGACCTCAAACTCAGGTTGTCCAAAGCTGGACAAGAACACCTCCTGCATTTCTGGAATGAGCTTGAAGAAGCCCAACAGGTAGAACTTTATGCAGAGCTCCAGGCCATGAACTTTGAGGAGCTGAACTTCTTTTTCCAAAAGGCCATTGAAGGATTTAACCAGTCCTCTCACCAAGAGAAAGTGGATGCACGAATGGAACCTGTCCCTCGAGAGGTGTTGGGGAGTGCTACCAGGGATCAAGATCAGCTTCAGGCCTGGGAAAGCGAAGGTACTGGGCATGTGCATATTTGTTCTAAAGTTTGTTATGAGATGTACTCCAATTGTAAAGTAGCTGGATCCTGTAACTAATATTTTGATTGTCAAACCACCTTAAACCAGGTGACCTCGCAGAAAGTAACAAATTAATCTTGCTAAGACCTCTGCAATGTCTCCTGTTGCCAGTCCCTACGTTCTTTTTTCATTTCTGATGTCTGATTCAAGGCTTCTCTTATTCAGGTCTTGTCTCCAGTGTCTTTCTCTCCTCAATTTCCATGCTTCTTGTAGATTTCTTTTTCAGAAGCACGAGTTAAACATTTCAAGGTAAGCCGGCTTAGTCTGAAAACCTGCCTTAACCTGGTACTAGCCGGTATTGCCAATCTTGTCTCTTGCTCTATGCATTTAGCTGAACCAAATAGTTCACCTTTTCCCTGAACATTATGTTATGCCTTTGCTTATGTTTATCCTTACCTTGGTGTGGCCTTGCCCTTTTCTACCCAGCTGGGTCACCTTGTAAGATCATCTCTTAGAGTTGTGCAGTGGCTCTGCCACTTGGGGAGCTTACACTCATTCTTTAAAGTTCCCCACACATTATTTGATCCATGACCTTTTTTTCAGTGTCCCAACTTGGAATTAGTTGTTCATGCTTTAAATCATTCTGCCATATAGATTTATTCTGCCAAAGAATTCTGCCAAAAGAATTATTTACCTCTGTCTTTCTCAGTACATTGTAAACTTTTAAGAGCAGCCCATGTCCATGTTATCTGTGTATGTCATGTAGCATTTAGAATAGTTAGGCACTTATTAATTGGTCAATAAATGTTTGAACTACCCCAATGCTTTTTATTCTAAAGTATATCATAAAATCTGTCCTCATAACTAATCCTAATTTGTGCTTTTGTGAATAGCAAGATAGCTCAACTGTAGGTTTTGGTGGAGTTGAGAGCTGCAGTTTTTATAGTCTACTACTGCTCTGTAAATAAAAGGTTGACTAAATATTGTAGCCAAGGCCCTTGAGTGTTTGTACATGATCCTTGTCAAATCTGGGCCTCATTTCCTCAACTGTGAATGAGCAAATAATTTTCTTTCCTTTTTAAAAGACATTATTTTATTGCTGAAATAATTTCAAAGTAACAGAAATAGCCCATAACCTCATCAAATATGTTTTTATTTGCTCACATTATCACCCAGTACTTGATTATATATACATATACTTTTATAGATGTGCAATAATATTATAGATATAATCTTCTAGTCTGTATTTGTACCACACTGTGGCTATTTTTCTTAATATTTTGTCTTCCACACTTTGGCACTCCCCCCCTAACTAAAAGAAAGATAACTGGCAGGGCGCAGTGGCTCACGCCTGTAATCCTAGCACCCTGGGAGGCTGAGGTGGGTGGATTGCTCAAGCTCAGGAGTTCGAAACCAGCCTGAGCAAGAGTGAGGCCCTGTCTCTACGATAAATAGAAAGAAATTAATTGGCCACCTAATATATATATATAAAAAATTAGCCGGGCATGGTGGCGCATGCCTGTAGTCCCAGCTACTAAGGAGGCTGAGGCAGAAGGATTGCTTGAGCCCAGGAGTTGGAGGTTGCTGTGAGCTAGGCTAATGCCACGGCACTCAGTCTAGCCTGGGCAACAAAGCGAGACTCTGTCTCAAAAAAAAGAAAGAAAGAAAGAAAGATAACTGGCGTTATTAGCTTTCTGTATACCTCTTTGTATCTTTCTCTGGGCTCATAAATTTACTGAAAATCAGCTGAGGAGCTGTCTCCTCTAGGGAGGGGGAGAAGATAACTAAGCAGGTGAGTCTCCCACCCCTTTATCTTCCCACTACAAGAGCTGTTCTGCTTTCTTCTGTTTTGTATTTGTTCTTTACATCAACTTTCATTTAGAAAGGTTTGGAGATTTAAAAAACAGTTTGAAAATAACTGGATGTTCTTCAAGGAGGTTTCTTTCAGATCCGAAATGCTTGGTAGTGGCTAATTAGCTTTTTACTTAGGAGAGGGCTCTGCTTCGAAGATAGGAGGGAATGATTTCCAGGTGAATACTTGTGAATGGAGAGTTTTAGTGATACCGTGACTGCTATTAACAGTGGATTCACAAATCCTTCCCTCCTTCCTTGAGTTTCAAAAAGGCTACTACTCTATATAGATGAGAATAAGCTTCAAAAGAAAGAAAGAAAAAAGGCTAGTACTCCAAACCAAAAGCCACACATAGGTCTCTTCTTACCTCTCGTAGCCCAGCTGCCTGTATTTCTCTTTGGGATTTTAAGGGATGAAGTCTTAGTATTAACTCTTATGGAAAGTCAAAGCTTCGACCTTGTGTAATGAGGAACATAAGCAACAATCAAGACCTCTTATAATTTTAATCTTCTCTATGGCCTTTTTGTTGGACTGTGTGGAACTAGTCTACATTTATTCAGGTTTTTTTTTTGAGACAGAGTCTCACTCTGTTACCTGGGTTAGAGTGCCGTGGCGTCAGCCTACCTTGCAGCAACCTTAAACTCCTGGGCTCAGGCGATCCTCCTGCCTCAGCCTCCCTAGTAGCTGGGACTACAGGCATGCGCCACCATGCTTGGCTAAATTTTTCTATTTTTGAGTAGAGACTGGGTCTCAGTCTTGCTTAGGCTGGTCTTGAACTCCTGAGCTCAAACAATCCGCCCGCCTTGGCCTCCCAGAGTGCTAGGATTACAGACGTGAGCCACCGCACCCGGCCATAGTCTACATTTATGACTTTCATTTAAACTACAGTCTGGAGCTATTACCAAGTATAGGATAAGAAGGTGCAAAGCAAACTTCCTTTTGGCTTACTGTCAAGAGAACAATATTTGTGGCTTACATGGTAGGGGTGAAGAAGGAGACTTATACTGACATTGTATCCTTTTCACTTAGCCAGAAATTACCATGTGTTCACAATTCATAACAAAATGAAGTTTCTGCAATAAGTTCTCAGTAGTACAGGTATCTGCAGTAAGTATAAAGATTATGGTATTATATTTCAGGTAGAAGGAAGATCATGGCAATTGTGTATCAAGGACAGTTTCTTATCCCTCTGGATGAGGGGAATAGAAAAGCATTGTATAGTAATTTTAAAGTGTCTGGTGGTTATTGACATGATAATGGACATTTTAATGCCTAGAGTGGAAAATTCTTTATTTATGAAGTGTGAATATGTAAGTGGCCACTGTGGTCCTTACTGAAGAGAATGCTTGCTTTAATTCTTCAAGTTTTCTGGCCAGTTGTATAAAATGGAATATAGAGGAGCAACTGGAAAATCCTTATTTTGCAAAGCTGAGATTTTAAAAGAAAACTAGTAGAAGCTTTGAGAATGTCATTTTAGTAAAAATACACTGGGAAAATATGTTTGCTTAATAATAATCACCATTCTTTAACACTTGCTTACTTGAACACAAAACAGTCTACTAATTTTATTAAAATAACTAATTACTATTCAATGTTAGCCTTTTTATATTTTTGCCTCAGACATTTTCCTTTTAGTTGTAATGGCGCTTCTCAATCACACAGTAGTAGAAAAGTAAATGGATTGTTTAGAAGAAATGGATTCATAACATCATCTCCTATATTTTCTGAATTCTATTATAGTGATTTTTTAAATTTTTAAATTATATTTACTTTTAATTTTAATCTTTTATTTTTTTATTTCTTTTGTACAGCACTACTGACAGCTGAATAGATCATTTTCTTTTAAAAGTAATATGCTTATTTTAGAGAAAATGGAAAATGCTAAAAATTACAAAGGCAAAAATACAAATCTTTGACATTTCACCATCCAGAGATAAATACTCACAAGTAATATTTTACAGTATTTTCTTTCACACATACACATATGCACACATTGGGATTATGGTTGTGAACAGTTTTGTAGCCTGCTGAAGAATTTATTATGAAAATTCCAAGCATATTTTGAAATAAATATTTCAAGGCAAATTTAGTATAGTGAACCCCTACATATACCATCTTGATTAAAAATTATCAAATTTTTTGTTTCTTTTGCTTTCTCCCTTTTTCTTTTGTAGTATTGTAGGCTAAATCCCAAACATCATTTTATTTTTACCCTCATATCATTCAAAATCCATCTCTAAATATATAGGTGTTTTCTTACTAATCACAATGCCATTATTATGCCAAATGAAATTCACAGTAATCACTTACTATCTAAAACTGGTACGAATAAGAGATTTCTCTGATTAGTCTGCTTTTTGTGCTTAACATTTTGGGGAAATAAGTTTCAGCTGTAACATGTGATTAAAAATTAAAGACTTAAAATATCTCATCTGACTAATTGTCTTGGATAGCTTTCCTTTATTTCTACCATTGAATAGCCTGTTTACCACACTCCACTTATTCTGGAGTTCTGACAATTTAAATGAAAGTTCTGACAGCATTCTACTTTGCAAAGACCTATGCTGTCATCCTTGTTCCAGGCGCATGTCCAAGTTAAAATGTATAGGAGGAACTAGTCCAAGCAGGAAGTTATCCAGGAAGCATTTGACCTCTGATAAGCCACTGTAAACTCTTCTGTTTCTTGTAACCACCTACGTCTGCTGGGAGCAGGAGTAAGCTGCAGGCAGTGGAACAAGAATGTCAGTGGGACACTCTGTTTGTCATGCAATCTACTTAAAGGAAATGATTGCCTCAGACAGAAGTCACCCGAAAAACTGCATTAGTGTTTACTTATTTATTTTGAAACAGAGTCTCACTCAGTTGCCTGGGCTAGAGTGCTGTAGCGTCAGCCTAGCTCACAGCAACCTCAAACTCCTGGGCTCAAGCAATCCTCCTGCCTCAGCCTCCCAAGTAGCTGGGACTACAGGCATGTGCTACCATGCCTGGCTAATTTTTTTCTATATATTTTTAGTTGGCCAATTAATTTCTTTCTACTTTTGGTAGAGACGGGGTCGCTCTTGCTCAGGCTGCTTTCAAACTCTTGACCTCAAACAAGCGATCCACCCGAACGATCCACCACCACCTCGGCCTCCCAGAGTGCTAGGATTACAGGCGTGAGCCACTGCGCCCGGCCCCGCATTAGTGTTTAATATTCCTTTCCACCAAATTTACCAGGTTTACAGGCAGGTCCCATTGGTATTCACATTCTTATTAATGATCAGATGTTTCAGAACTTTCAAGATGAGAGTTCCTTTTTATTCTCCACAGTTAAACCTCAAAATGGAGATGGTACCACATAAATTTTGAAGTGATATCTTATCCAGACTGAACTACATCCAGTACTAAATAAAGTGAAGACTGAATCCAAAAAGGGATTGGATTATACCATATGAAATGTTTCCTTTTGAAAACACAGCATGACCTTTCTGATGAGCTGTATGCGAGGTGAATCTCCTGCCAGAGACTCAGTTTCCACGTAGCCTCTTCCCACAAGCTACTCTGCCTGTGGTGCTGGGACTGTCCACCTTTGAGTGATGACCTGGGTCTTAGGAATGGAATATGGCGAGATTTGGGTATTTTTAAAATTCAAACTGAGAGCCTCTTTAAATAGCTTTTATAGTTTCGTTTGTTTGTGTCTGGATCTTGAATCCATCTTGAATTTATTTTGGTTCAAAGAATAACATTTTTAATTCAAGCATTGTTTGATTACTATTTATTGCTAAACATTCAACTGATGGAAACTGACAGGCTTCCAGAGAGAAGTAAGTTAATAATGAAAAGACAGAATCTCACATCCCTCTGAGCTAGTGTAGATGGCTCATGTTTTTATTTTATTTTATTTTATTTTATTTTATTTTATTTTATTTTATTTTATTTTTTATTTTATTTTAAGACAGAGTCTCGCTTTGTTGTCCAGGCTAGAGTGAGTGCCATGGCATCAGCCTAGCTCACAGCAACCTCAAACTCCTGGGCTCAAGCAATCCTCCTGCCTCAGCCTCCTGAGTAGCTGGGACTACAGGCATGCGCCACCATGCCCGACTAATTTTTTCTATATATATCAGTTGGCCAATTAATTTCTTTCTATTTATGGTAGAGACGGGGTCTCGCTCTTGCTCAGGCTGATTTTGAACTCCTGACCTTGAGCAATCCACGCACCTCAGCCTCCTAGAGTGCTAGGATTACAGGCGGGAGCCACCGCGCCTGGCCGGCTCATGTTTTTAAAAAGGCATTTAAATAAATTTTATCAATATATAATTACATATAATAAAATACACTAGTTTTATGTTTTAACAAATGTATATACCCATATACCTATCACCCTAATCAAGATATAGAACGATTCCATCAGCCTACAAAATTTTCTAAGGCCCTTTGCAGGTAAAACCCCCCCCCAAGTTTATTCAGTTGAGTTGGATTTCAAATCAGAAATCCTAACTTCAGACCTTGGATTCTTAACCATTACACATTACCACTTTTCTAACTGAAGCTTCCTTTTCTTTACATTTACAGGGTAGTAGCTTGCCTGGTATATTTGCATTCTCATTGATTAATTATTTATTATTTATTTTTAGGCTAGAAGTCATTTAATTGCATCAACATTTATCCCAAAACTTTGGTATCTTTTTTTCAGCCTATCTTTTTCTTGACTTGCCACATCTAATAAGTAGTCGAGTTCTTGCAAAATGTTTATGATATCTCTTGGTTCGTACCTCCTGGCATTATCAGAAAAAAATATTTTGTTCATTAAAGTATATGATTCATTGTTTGGGTTATATAAATTTAATTGTTTTAATAATAAAATGTTTTTATTAGCAAGATAGTCTTCTATGAGTCTGTGTAGATTCCATGTTCTCTATACCTTATACAGATAGGGTGAGCCTTTGCTGGTACCTATATGTGTTTAATACTGACGTGTTGAATTGTAGAGATGTGTGATGCAAATGTTTCCTTTTCTAGGACTTTTCCAGATTTCGCAGAACAAAGTAGCAGTTCTTCTTCTAGCTGGTGGGCAGGGGACAAGACTTGGCGTTGCATATCCCAAGGGGATGTATGATGTTGGTTTGCCATCCCATAAGACACTTTTTCAGATTCAAGCAGAGCGTATCCTGAAGCTACAACAGTTAGCTGAAAAATATTATGGCAAAAAATGCATTATTCCATGGTAAGATGTGTCTCATTGTGGGATTGTGTCCGGACAGATTTTTTTAAATAATATTCAAAATGCATATATACTTTATTCATAAGGAGACACATTTCTTGTCACTATTTTCTTGGGAGGTATAATTTGCTTTATATGTTAAAAGTAATATATATTATGGCTTAATAGATGACCACTATAGACTTAATGAGCAATATAGACTCACCAGCAACTTTTCCATCCTGGGTACAGTAGACTCTTTCCGTCTAGAAACTTAATACTGATTGATAGTTCATCTAGATATAGAATTTCTGATTGAAAAATCAGTTTCCTTCTGAAATTTGAAAGTTTTGCTCTATTGTTTGTAGCATTGCTGTTGAAGGGTCTAATGCCATTCTGATTCCCAATTGTTTTTTTTTTTTTCCTCCTCTCTGAAAGCATTTAGGGTCCCTTCTTTTTTTTTTTTGAGACAGAGTCTCGCTTTGTTGCCCAGGCTAGAGTGAGTGCCGTGGCGTCAGCCTAGCTCACAGCAACCTCAAACTCCTGGGCTCGAGTGATCCTTCTGCCTCAGCCTCCCGGGTAGCTGGGACTACAGGCATGCGCCACCATGCCCAGCTAATTTTTTTTATATATATATATCAGTTGGCCAATTAATTTCTTTCTATTTATAGTAGAGACGGGGTCTCGCTCTTGCTCAGGCTGGTTTTGAACTCCTGACCTTGAGCAATCCGCCCGCCTCGGCCTCCCAAGAGCTAGGATTACAGGCGTGACCCACAGCGCCCGGCCGGGTCCCTTCTTTAATATCTGAAATGTCATGGTGCTGTGGTATGGATCTATTTTCAGCCACTGCTCTAGATTCTCAGTGGGCTTTCTCAGTCTAGAAACTTGTACCCTTAATTAAGTACCTGGTTATCTAGCCCTCACCTCTTGCATGCACATGCCAGATGAAAACTGCATTGATTTCTCTGCTACGGGCCAACCTTGTGTCCTCAGCCCCTGCTGGTATGCTGTGTTCTCAGGGTCTCTACCTTGGTCAGTGTTTGTCTCCTAAGCATGAAGAGGTTACAGAAAATTCTGCTCTTCTTTTTAGGAGTTTGGGGGTTAGCTCCTTAATCTCTTTCCCAGAGCAGTTCTGGAAGTCAGCACATTTTGAGAGGGAAAGTTTGCCTGTGTGTTTGGGATCCCTCGAGTCCCTAGCCTTATTTTTTCAGTCCCATGTGATCAACAAAAGCTCTGCCAGTTTTTCTGTCCCCAGCAGCAGCCTTTGGTCCAAGCCAGATTCTCTACCACGAGCCTGTACCCCAAATCAGCAGATAACCTCAGGACAAGGCAGCTGCATATCCTTAGCTCCCTTTGGAAAGATTTCTCCCTCCCTGGAATTTTAGTCCCATTCTGTGTTGCCTCTGGAGCTCTCTGATACCTTTGAAAATACAGTTTTTGTAATTTTCCCAGCTTTTCTAGCTCTTCTCAACATGAGTACTAGCCTGCTGTGAAGTGTTTTCTTCATCTTGATTCCCGCGGGAGTGTTTTGAGGAGTATCTGTGTTCTAAGTAGCCAACATTCCAATTACAGCCCTGGCTTCCTACTGCCATATTGGATTTTCTTCTTTCTCTTACTTCCCTCTCCTTACAACTCAGAATTTCTATTCTATTATGCAGAGCAGTTTAGCCACCTTTTTTGTCATCTTCTAAATCATGTCCAAACCTTTTGTACCCAACGTTCAAAATACCCAGGATAATTTTTTAAATAGATGTCTCCTGGATATCTACTGTGGTGGGAAATTACACTGTTTTCTTTATTCATCTATTCATTCAACAAATATTGAGTGCCTGCTTCTGGGTGCTGGGGATAAATCAGTAATCTAGACAGACATCCCTTCTTAGATATGTGTTTACATTCTAGTAAGAGCAAAAACTACTGGAGTCACTAATTGTGGTTTTAGATAGAATTTTTTTTCCTTTGCTCTGCTAGCATGGGTTGGATTTTTGTGATGACAGAGAGTATAATTATACTTTTATGGTTCTAAATGAAGGGTTAGCAGAGTCTAGATTCCATTTCAAATTTTAATAAAATGAACCACAAGAGATCATTAGGCTATATTGCAGTTACCCTTTTCTCACTATTTATTTAGGAGTTTTAAACTTAGAATATACTTTGGCAGAGTTCTAAAATGTTTACTTAAGCCCCTTACAGGTTCTCTATTGAAGGAGATTATATTTAATATTGTTAAATAAATTTATTTTATACATAAGGATTGATGAAATTATTGGAAGTAATTCCCTTTGGGTAGCAGCTAATAAATGTGTCTCATCTAGGAAAAATATGAAGGAAGTCAAAATAAGCCAGTGCTCTCAGATTTTCTTTAGCTTAGGAAATAGACAAAACTTTATTTTGCCCCAATCCACATAGCACCACTATTGCTTAGAAGATCTACTTTTCTCTTGCAAGGTATATAATGACCAGTGGCAGAACGATGGAATCTACAAAGGAATTCTTTACCAAGCACAAGTACTTTGGTTTAAAAAAAGAGAATGTAATCTTTTTTCAGCAAGGAATGCTGCCTGCTATGAGTTTTGATGGGAAAATTATTTTGGAAGAGAAGAACAAAGTTTCTATGGCTCCAGGTGTGTAATCATCCTTATTTAATGGTGACTAGAAATGGTAGTAACATAAATCATTAAATTTTGATATTTCTTTTAATATAGCAATTTGTATATTTAAAAAATATTTTTTGGCAATTTGGAAATGATTTAAAAAGATGAAAATTGGTGGAGTGGATACACTTTTTATACTTTTTTATGCTAATCTTTGTGGATGTCTGCCCTATAGAGCAATTTGAGTAGCATTCAGGGTGTTTATTCTCTTTAACCAGTATTTTGTATATTCAACAATGTTCATGGCTATATTATTTATTATAGGAAAAAATTGGAAACCATATACTGTTTAATAAATGAGAGGCTAAATTATGGTTTATAAATAGCATTAATTCTTATATACTATTAAAATAATTGGATATATTACCTGACAAAGAAATCATTTCAATAGGTTAATTAAGAGAACACAAAATACAAAACTGTGGGCCGGGCGCTGTGGCTCACGCCTGTAATCCTAGCTCTTGGGAGGCCGAGGCGGGTGGATTGCTCAAGGTCAGGAGTTCAAAACCAGCCTGAGCAAGAGCGAGACCCCGTCTCTACTATAAATAGAAAGAAATTAATTGGCCAACTGATATATATATAAAAAAAAAAATACAAAACTGTGTACATAGTCTGATTAGGGCCACTGCTTTGCACAGTTCCAGGTATTGAATGCTCATTTGCTCATTGTAGTTTGTTAATGGAACTCTCTAGAATTGGGCAGTGTACTGTCTGTGTAGTCACATACAGTGGCCCTGAGTATGATCTCAACTATAAAAATAAACCTATTGACAGATTTATATTTATGTGAATCTGTGCTCAGAGGAAAGGATGAAAGAAATAATAGTATTGACAGTGGTGCTTTATAGATGTCAGCTTTTATGTCATCTTAGTTCTCTTTTAATCTTAATTCTTTTTAATTAATGGAAGACTTACTACTCTTAGCTCTATTTTGTGAAGTTGTCTTATTTTTTTGTTATCATTTAACTTATGGCTGGAGTGGCACATGGAATATGTTAAATTAAAACTAGATGCAGGCCGGGCGCGGTGGCTCACGCCTGTAATCCTAGCTCTCTGGGAGGCCGAGGCGGGCGGATTGCTCGAGGTCAGGAGTTCGAAACCAGCCTGAGCAAGAGCGAGACCCCGTCTCTACTATAAATAGAAAGAAATTAATTGGCCAACTAATATATACAAAAAAAAATTAGCCGGGCATGGTGGCACATGCCTGTAGTCCCAGCTACTTGGGAGGCTGAGGCAGGAGGATCCCTTGAGCCCAGGAGTTTGAGGTTGCTGTGAGCTAGGCTGACGCCACGGCACTCACTCTAGCCTGGGCAACAAAGCGAGACTCTGTCTCAAAAAAAAAAAAAAAAACTAGATGCAGAAAGAAGAGGTTTTACCTAGTTTAAATCACCATAGACCTTCATATCAGTCTGATTTCTTAAGTAATTTGATATAAAATGCTTATGTATTTTTATTTTTGAGATGAGTGAAATTATCATTGTTGGGGCTATAAATATAGAGTTAACTTGAATTATGCACATGTTAATGAAACTTGAAGTGTTATGAAATAATCATTGTCTGATAATTTTATATTTCATAGTATAGGCTAGATTATTAAAAGGGGCTGAGTTAAAAAGAAACATATGGTCTTCAGTGTTGCCTGGTCTTACCTTGATAATATTATTCCCTGGTTGCTTAATGCTAAATAACCTTCAAAATCATGTGGTATAACTTTTTGACACCTGATTCCTTCCTTATGGATATTCAGTTTTCTTGGCTCTATAATGTGAAACTGTCATTTTCAGAGATCTTTATCCCAATTTGGAAACATTAAACAATCTTTGGGTTACCTTTGTCATGATTTTGGTGTGCTACTGATAGGCTATTTTATTTTCCAGATGGGAATGGTGGTCTTTATCGGGCTCTTGCAGCCCAGAACATCGTGGAGGACATGGAGCAAAGAGGCATCTGGAGCATTCATGTCTATTGTGTTGACAACATATTAGTGAAAGTGGCAGACCCCCGCTTCATTGGATTTTGCATTCAGAAAGGAGCAGACTGTGGAGCAAAGGTAATGCCTTTCTCAACTGTAGTGAGGCTTTCAATGGTCTTTCTCTGCCATACATTATTCCAGGAGTCAAACTAAGCTTATTAGGCTGATTTGACTATTTTGAAACCATTCATCTCTCTTAAAGTAACTAGACTACCCCACACCCACTTTTCCTTAAATTGGCAAGACTTGGTTTTAGAAGTAATGTTGTATACTTGTCAATCACAAGTAAGAGTTTAAAATATGTGAGGATGATTTGTAAGTACCTGGGAAAGTGAATGATCGTCACTAGCCCTGGGGCAGATTTATTAATATCAAATTGTGTTCAGTCAGATTAGCCTAATTTTATCCCTTTGACAAAGTTACTGGAGTTATAGGTAAGGGAAAGATGGTAGAAATAGAAGATATAGACATCAGTAAGACATTTGACAAGGTATCTCATGATAATTCTTGTGAATAAGATGGAAATAGGCAGATTGGGGTAAGAACAATTAAGGAGATTAATGCACTGCATGAATGACTACAAATATCTGATATTAAGATGGAGGTTTATATGCTGTATGATAATCTTCCTTGGCATTGTTCTTTCAATATTTTTTTAGTTGCAATGATGTAAAGAAGGCCATGTCTTTATGTACACAAACAAAATATATGATATGCTAGAATAAAATAAGAAACATGAAGACAGACCTTAAAAGCACTTTGGAAGACTTAAAAATATGATATAAAGATTACTTCCCTGGAAGTCTGTAAAGTTCTCCATTCTCATCAAATAGAATGTAATACAATCCCAATCAAAATCCCTCTGGACTATTTTGGTGAATTTGACAAAATGATTGCAAATAGAATAAACATGTAAAGATATCCAGGAAAATGTTGGAAAAGAAGGATGATTATACAGGAGGATGGGGGATTGGAGACAATCTATCATATTAAAAAGAATGGTAAACAAATTAACTAGGAGTGTAGTATGGGAACCAGAATGAATGATAGATTAATGGAAATAGAACACAACAAATTTGTGTGTGTACATATAAGAATGCATTATATAAAATATGGCCATTTCAATCAGGGAACGAAATGAATGAAAATATTGCCTAAAAATAAAGTTGATCTCTCCCTAGAAGCTCATACACAAATCAGTTTCAAATGATTACACAGTATAATATTAAAAAGTGAAACCATAAAGGTATTAGAAGATTTGTATAATTTATAATTTGATGTGAAATGAAGACCTTCTGCATGCTATAACCATACAGGCTTCTGACAGAAACACTACAATAGTTCACGTAAATTTGAAGAATCTGGTTTAGAAAGAAGGCCTGCCTAAGATATATAAAGTATCTTGGTTGGAGATTTTCTTTTCTTTTTTCTTTTTTTTTTGAGACAGAGTTTCACTCTGTTGCCCAGGCTAGAGTGAGTGCTGTGGCGTCAGCCTAGCTCACAGCAACCTCAAACTCTTGGGCTCAAGCAATCCTTCTGCCTCAGCCTCCCGAGAAACTGGCACTACAGGCATGTGCCATCATGCCTGGCTAATTTTTTCCATATATTTTTAGTTGGCCAATTAATTTCTTTCTATTTTTAGTAGAGACAGGGTCTCGCTCTTGCTCAGACTGGTTTTGAACTCCTGACCTTGAGCTATGCTCCTGCCTTGGCCTCCCAGAGTGCTAGGATTACAGGCGTGAGCCACTGTGCCTAGCGGAGATTTTCTGTTATGAAGATGTTATTTCTCTTAAAATTAATCTAGAAATCTATCAATGTAATGATGTCAAGAAGCTGAAATCTTAAATTTACCACTGCAACTTTTGAGAGATTGAGCTCGTAGGTCTAATAAAGCTCCTCTTAATTTTGAAAATAAAAAAGACTTGGTTTAGTTCATTTATTTAAGACCTCTATCCGGTCTAATACTCCCGAGTATTTGTACCATATTTTAAATAGCTACTAACCTGTAATAGAAACATAAGTACTTCTCACTGCCTTTTCCTGGGTAAAAAAAAAAAAAAAAAAAAAAAAAAAAAGAAACATAAGTACTAAGTTTTAAAAAGACAACAGTGTATTTCTTTCTTTGTTCCACTTGGTGTCACTCTTTTTTCTAAAACAGAAACTTAAAGTTTACTGCTATAAGCTTTAGACTCAATTTAAACTTTATAGATCAGAGAATGTTGAACCTGGAAGGGACCTCAGAGATCATCTGGTCAACCCCTTTGATCTCACAAATGAGATCTGGTACTTAATGAGTCCAGGGCTCAAGGTTCTTTATCACATTAGCAGAGCCAGGATTAGAATTCACATTTCTCAACTGCTAGTCTTGGTATTATATCACATATTATTTATATCCATACTTTTTAGAATAGTTATGCTTTTGCTGGCAGCTCAAAAAACTTTAAACTGATGTGCTAACTTTTGTGAGTATGCTGATCACACAGAGATGCAAGTGTTAACCAGTTACTCTTCTCCATTACCTGTATGCTCTCTAGGATAAATCCAGATTTAGTCTTCTTGCAGACTCACTGTTTAGTCATGTTGTGGTAGTCACTTGGTGGATGAGTAAATATTATGATGGAACCAAAATGACTAGAATGGCATACATTAAAAACCTTTAGAAATGTTTTCTAACATTTATGTTATCTATCCTCCCTCTTTTTTTAATATGAAAATCAAGGTATTAAAATATATATTTAAAAACATGCAAATTAGGGAGTGACTCAGTGTGGTAGCAAAAGTCTTTGCAGTACTTCTTTAAGAGCTCCTATCTTGAAGCATTAAGTATTTTTTATGGAGTGAGAGCCTTGAGAAAAGACTTAAGAGTGAGGTAGTTTGCCAGGTACAAAGCTAAAAGGGTAGGAACCATTGTTAATTGAAGATCATTTTGTAAAGCAGTTACAGTAACTTTGAGCTTAAAGTGTTATTTTGGACTCAGCTTTTCTCAGTATGTAACTTAGGAAATATTGGACAAACCTCTTAATTTTATATTGCATATCTTTTCTGTATATATAAACTGATTTCCAACTTCATGCACTTTCTTCTATAATCTAAATTATATTCTTCTATAATATTTAGAGGTTCATAGTTGTCATAGAAGTAAACATTTGGGAAATGTAAAATGTGAATATGCTTATTTTTAGTTTCCAAGGCTGATTGGGAGTAGGAGTATATAGAAGTGATTGGAAAATAAACCTTGTGTGCATTTAAAAAAACGGGAATGAGAGGAATAAATTTAAAATTCCCTGTCTAGGCTGGGCGCGGTGGCTCACGCCTGTAATCCTAGCACTCTGGGAGGCCGAGGCAGGTGGATTGGTCCAGGTCAGGAGTTCGAAACCAGCCTGAGCAAGAGCGAGACCCCGTCTCTACTATAAATAGAAAGAAATTAATTGGCCAACTAATACATATAGAAAAAATTAGCCAGGTATAGTGGCGCATGCCTGTACTCCCAGCTACTTGGGAAGCTGAGGCAGCAGGATCGCATGAGCCTAGGAGATTGAGGTTGCTGTGAGCTAGGCTGATGCCATGGCACTCACTCTAGCCTGGGCAACAAAGTGAAAAAGAAATTCCCTGTCTAGTAAGATACCCATGGGGGAATACATGAAGAAAGGGTTAGTGATGGATTGACAGATAAGAGTTGCAATTAGGGCAGGACACAGTGGCTCACGCCTGTAATCCTAGCTCTCTGGGAGGCCGAGGCAGGAGGATTGCTCAAGGTCAGGAGTTCAAGACCAGCCTGAGCAAGAGTGAGACTCCCAATTCTACTAAAAATAGAAAGAAATTAATTGGACAACTAAAATATATATAGAAAAATTTATCTGGGCCTGGTGGTGCATGCCTGTAGTCCCAGCTACTTGGGAGGCTGAGGCAGGAGGATCGCTTGAGCCCGGGAGTTTGAGGTTGCTGTGAGCTAGGCTGACACCATGGCACTCTAGCCTGGGCAACAGAGTGAAACTCCAACTCAAAAGAAAACAACAAAAAAAACAAAAAGAATTGCAAATAGGCCTCCGATTGGGTTAAATTATTTTGCCATATAATGTTTCCCTCTATTTTAATCTACTTCCTTGGTAGAAAGTTTCTTTTCCTTGAATACTGTGTTCCTTTCAGGTGGCAAACAGTGAAACTACACAGCAGTCTTGCCTAATGCAGCTAGACTCAGTCAAGGCCTATATCTCTGATTGCTGTGTAAACCAAGTTCGAAACAGTGCCTTTAGTTGTCTGGAAGAAACTGCTATGGCTGTATTTATTTTAAGAAATCAGTTGCTGAAGAAAATTATATTGCATGTATGCTTAGGATAGACTTGTCAAATTAGGGATAGATCTTTAAAAAATACTTTGAAGCATGCTGAATCGATTATTGGACAGGACAAACAATAATACCTTCAAATATTTTTTATTGTTTGATACTTCTGTTGGATATTCATCTCATCTGAACCTTGATTTTAGTTCACTGAATACAATTCTTTCATAATTTTCATCTAAATAATTTAGGTCAGTGTTGTGTGGGATTAGGGTCATGGTGTATCAGAATCACCTGTGAGGTTTTTTAAATTTACATACTTTTACATTTTCCCTCTGATTTTGATACATTCTTTTCTCAGATCCCCCCACCAGCACAGAGCCACTGATAAATTGTCAAATCACTGGTTTTCAACCTTTTTTTAAAAAAGTACAGAATCTGTCATTTCAAACAAAATCTAGTAGGCAAAGCAGATAAGTAAATATGGGTAGGTTTTCTGATTAAAGTTGGCATGGGAGCTTAGTGACCTGCCTGCTTTAAACCTTCCTCTTATCAGGTCCCTGAAAAACAATGAAAATGCGTTATTCATGAAGGAAATTTAAATTCTGTTTCCAAATGAAGTAATGATTTGGGCAATAGAAAGTGAGAGACAAAATGCCTTTGTTTTTTGTCTTGTGAAACCCAAAGAAATTTCATTCTCAAAGTAATCAAATGTGGTTAAGGATACATTAAATAATAAAAAAATATAAGATATTTGGGTGATATAGACTCCTCATTTAATTATTCCCTGGCCAAGGTGATTTCCTCTGTGCTATATATATATATATATGTATGTGATGGAATTTCTACTCCATGGTTTTGTTAGGTGATACGTAGGAAGGAGATAACGTACCTCATTTCCTGTTGGAAAGTAGTCTGTCAAAGTATATAAAGTTGCATAATTGATTGTCTAAAGATTCTTCTTAGCTTAATACCTTAAAGACAATGTAAACAAAATTATAAATGTGGCCTTTGATGATGGTTTATCTCCAAAGAAGCATTTAATGAAATTTCTTCCTCTACTATTGTCTTTCTTTGCTGGGCAGGTGGTAGAGAAAACAAACCCTACTGAACCAGTTGGCGTGGTTTGCCGAGTGGATGGCGTGTACCAGGTGGTAGAATACAGTGAGATTTCTCTGGCAACAGCTCAGAAACGAAGCTCAGATGGACGACTGCTATTCAATGCGGGGAACATTGCCAACCATTTCTTCACCATACCATTTCTGAGAGATGTTGTCAAGTATGGGCAAAATGGGGACCTTTTAAAATTGTATTTATTGTTAATCAGAAACTAAATTACTGGCCGGGCGCGGTGGCTCACGCCTGTAATAACAGCACTCTGGGAGGCCGAGGCGGGCGGATTGCTCAAGGTCAGGAGTTC